AAAAACACCATTGGAACAGTCAAGAGGTGTATTTTAGTATTTCAGCAATAAAATGCTACCCATGTCATATTCAGGCTGTACAGTTCAGGTGCCAAAGTTCTCAGAGAAGACCAAGGTGCTGAACTGTGGAGGAGTCCCTGCCTGAGCACCCATAACTGATGTAGCCCAAGTGCTAAACCAGCCATTAGCAGCGCAGCTGCTGCTGCAGGTGCAGAGAATGTTTTCTTTGTGTCAGTTTATTCAGCTAGTGAAGTTCATTAAGTGTTTCATTTGAAGTTGAGAAATGTACTGGGAATTGAAATAGAAGAAATGCTTATTTTCACCTTTCAATCTGTGAATAAAAATTAGGTGCGAGAGTCTGAGATCTGTTAGCTTTAAAATCTTGTAGGATGGATTAACCTAAAATGATTGATTTAAATGCAGATAATATGCTGTTTAAATACAACACTCTGTTTAGTAAGATGAATGCTTTTTGCTGTGTCCAGCAGGTTGGAGGAGTAACAAGAAACCGTTCTTGCGCGTGTATCTGAATTTTAGATTCCATTTACATCGAATGCAATTTGAAGAGATTATGTTAGAAACAAAGTCATGTGTAGGGAAATTCTAATGCAACAGAAGTGAGATACATAATATCTGTGTATTTGTATATTTTTCAATAGTACTTGAAAGGCCTGAGGTGCTTGCAACCACCCAGGCCTTTAGCCTCGGCCGGCAGCACGGTGCAGCTGTGGCAGGGACAGGGCCTTCCCTGGGCAGGAGCCAGTAGCCAGGCTGTGGTGGCGAGTGCTGGTCAGTGAGTGCTGCAGGCTGCTCCCGCCCTGTTCCTCGTCAGCCTTTCCAGCCAGTGGAAGGGTTGTGTATTTTGTGAGAATCCCGGCGGGGCAAAGCCCCTGCTCTGCCTGCTGTGGGAAGTCTGATCAGGCCCCACGCCTGGGCTGCTGATGCAGTGCCCGCAGCTGAGGCCCCTCGGCGCACCTTTGTAGCTCCCTGTGTCCCAGCTCTTGTTGGGCCTGGAGCTGGGAGCGCTGTGCTGACAGAAGTGGGAACAGGCTGAATCGGTTGGCATTTGAGGTATGCTGTGACATGAAGGGTAGGAGGAGTGTACCTGGGGGGGACCCCACTTGAAGGCTTGCCCTGTGGATGGAGACCTTCCTGACAGAGAACACAGCAGTGGTACAACTATGTCTTCCATAGGTACGTACACGAGTCCGCTTGTGCCTTAAGATGAGGAGTGGGGAACCTTGTTTCGTGTGGATGTTGATTTAATTTCTGCAAACAGAATGTAAAGTAACTTCATTACCAAAATATCTACGTGGGAAGTTCTTATGTGTAATATCTGCCATTGAAACCTCAAAAACTATAAATACAAATATCCTACGGTTGTTTCATTAGGTATCATTTCTTATAATGACAGTGGTAAAAGAATGTAATTCTGGTCAGAAACTGTGGGAACAGTCTTTGTGTTTTGTAAATAAACTCTGACTTCATGGTTTCCATGGTGTACAACCAGGAAAAAGCATTCTGTTAGAATACACAGCACCAAAAAAATCTGTTTACAGTCTCCTGGATTTTCCTTGTAGTTCATAGCTTTTGTTTCTTTAAGATATCCTTATTAAGAGCAATGGAGAGATACCTTGTGCTGCTATTAGAGCACTGGGCTCATAGTGTATGAAGGAGAGCTGGTTGGAAATTGATTTTCATCTGTTTGTAGATTTTAAGTCAATTGTCTCACTGTTACATCATCCTAGTTCATTAATTTAATCTTGTATCCATGGGAATTTAACAGTGCAGTATGCACTTCAGACAGAACAGATAGATGTAGATCTTAAATTGTATTGATAGGTGCTATTACGAGCAATTTGGGTTAGTTTTAAACATAGGAGCTCTGTTGTTGAAGCAGTAGATACTTGAGGAAAAAAAAAGGGGGGGGGGTTGTGATCCTATCAGATGGTAGAATATACAAGGTAGTGTCAGCTGCACTTTAAGTACATGGCAGCACCATTATGTGGTGCCTCAGGTGGAAGTAAGCAATAAATCCAGGGTGACTGGATTACCCGCTCTGATTGCTTGTGCTCTCAAAAAGCCCTGACTGGCAGAGCTGTCTGCACGCCTGCTAAAGTGAAATGTGTCTGATAAAAAGAAGAAAAATGGTTATGTATTAATGACCTTGCCTGTATTTAAATACAAATGACTATCCTGCTTGTAATATTTTGTTTTCAGTTCCTGTATTTGTTTGGTGACAAGACCAGTTAAAAGTCTTTCTGCTCTCTGCTTTAGTGGCTGTTGTATAGCAGTGAATAGCTTGTCAGGGATCTTCCAGCACATTGTTGTCTGTGTTGAAGGACAATTTCACATTGGTGCATGTGGATGAATTTTCGCTTTATAGAGTTCTGCTTCAATGTTGGCTTCAAATTTTGTTGAGCTGTGCTCTGAGGAAGCTCTAAAAAAGAACAACATTCTGACACACACAGGCATGAGAAGGTAGTTTATACTGGTGAGTGCGATGTGGCAGCAGGCAGAGAAGGGATTGTCATTGGTGTGGCCTTTAGCAGCTGATAGTTTGATACATGCATGACAGAGAGCTTTTTTCCTATCCTAATAAACATTTTTACATGCAGGAGCAGAATTTAAAGTTAGGACTTTAACTGTCTAGGTGATGTACTGTAAATCTTTCTACCCACTTACAGTATTCCATCTATGTGTATCATTTGTTCTTCTCAAAAATAGTTCATTCCTCTTCCATTGCTAAGCAAGCGAACAAAATTTACAATGTATAAGAAAGCTGCAACAAATGCAGTTAACTGCGAGTGCTTATATTCCCTACGTTCTTCAATTTGGCAGCTTACCTGAAAGTTGACTGAGTATATTTGCACCAGAAAGACTGTGTTTTAGATAGCACAGCCCATATCAATGGCTTTTGGGTGAAAAACTTTGGTTATCAGTTTTCTGAATTTGGCCCAGTGACTGCAGCCTGCAAACTAAATAACAGAGGTGGAAGTGTTTCAGCTAGAGGTGAATTGTTCTTTCCCAAGCAAGGCGACTTTAAACACAGAAGAAAAAAGTGGAGGAAAGGTGGGAGTAGTCATGTTTGCATTCATGGTCACATTGGGTGATATTTAACTATCTAAATCTAGGCATCAGATTTGCTGCTGGAGCCTAGAGGGAAACCTTGAAGAGCTCAGCGTGATTGAGAGAGCTGCAGCTCAAGGCTCTGTGACCACACTGGGGTACTGAACTCCAGACCTTGTGTTATTTCTCTGCAGTTGTGCAGTATTCCTAAATGTGCTATTTCTTGTTAGCCAGCCCCCTCCTAACCCAAAATGAGTTTTGAATCACCAGAGGGTGCAAGCACTGCAAAGTGAGGCAGAAGGTGCTCCTGATCGGGGCAGGTGTTAATGTCTCCATACGGCTTCTTTCTTAATTTAAAAAACAAACTAAGCAAATAGGATTACATCCGGCATGGAGATGTTTCTTTTGTTATTGTGTTGATGGAAGGCTTCATTTTTTAATTGTGCACAAATGGCAGAACTTCTCTTCTGTTTTTTCTAATGTAACCAATTTAAATCTAAGTGAGGTTTCGACCATATGCTCAATTCAACCATATTTGCAGTTAAAAAAAAAAAATATTTCCAAAACATAAGAGTTCAGGGAAAATATACTGTTAACCATGAATCTGTATAGGGACTGATCCTTGAAGGTGATGCTAGCAAAAGGGAAATTGATTGCTCTGCGTGGCTTGAAACAAAATAGTATGGAGCTTTTAGTGTGACCAGACAAATTCCTCAGCTTTGTCAAAGAGTGAGTAAGGCTGGGATGAGGTTCTGCAATACTGTGACAGAAGGAGCTCTGGACAGAGTTTGAAAGAGGGAAATGCACCCTGAGGAAATCAAAGTTAAAGCCATTAGGAGAATAAAATTTTAGTTCAGGACACATTTGACTCTTCGTTGTCTGTGGCTTACTGCTGCAGTGCAGTGGGAGGAGGAGAAATACTTAGTAAACCAGGTTCCAAAGTTTAAGATACATAGTGCTGCTCTGACACAAAAAGTAGTGCTTATAAATAGCATGCCTTGTATGATCAGCTTGGTATGCAGAAGGGAACATGTTTTCTGTATTTCATTATTCACAGAAAAGAAATACTTCTTCTGTCTTAGCTTACAATGGTTATTGTGGTATTGTGCTCAGCACAAATGCTGTAGCATGAGTAGAATAATATAGAAGCACAATGTGACAAAAGGAATGCAGTAAGAAAAAAGGTGTTGTTTGTTGACAAAAAAACAACAGCCAAGTGTATCTCCTAAATAAACTTGTATAGTTGTCTGTGTAATCACATAATAAATGGGGTAAGTGCTAGTTTTCCATTACCAACTCTTCATGTCTAAGGAGGACAGTGATGAACAAATTAAAGGTATGTATGTATAGTGGATGTTCTAATATACTTTTGGTATATGTTGTCAGGGTGCTTATCTACATACAGTTTGCTCATTCTGTTCTAACCCGTAACAAGTGTTAGTACTGCCTGTGCCACTGTGCAGCATTGAATGCTTGCCCCAGGCCCAGCTGATGCTGTGAGCTGGAGCTGCACAGGGACTGTATATTCTGATTGTGGTCACTTCTAACCTTCCTGCTATGGACTTCTTCAGGGTAGTGCATAGGTGGAAAACAAAACCTTTACCTCATGCTGTGCTTAGATTTTCAGATTAATACCCTGTTACTCTGTCTTTATTGGACTCCTGAAAGAATTAAGTAGTGTCTGCTTTTGTCCTCACTTCAGTTATGAAAATCAACTGACAGAAATTAGAAGAATGGTAGGGATGATGGCCTTAAAAGTATAAGGAGCATTGCATTTGAATTTGGAATATGGCTTATTCAGTTGTGACAGTTGCAATTAAAAAATACCAGCAACTGGCTTTCTGGTAGTTTCAGCAAGAACGTCTTTGCAGTGTTTGTGTATATGTGAAAGGAGTTTGGAAACAATCTTAACTCTTGATTTTGTCTCCTAGGCATGCCGCTTCTGGTACGAAGGAGCAGTGATCCAGCTTTGGGCCCACCTGCTGACTTCCACCCAAGTGCCTCTTATCCTGGTGACCTCAGTCACAAACATGCTGTGGCAGTAAGTGTCATGTAACTCATCTTTTTATTAAGGGCTAAAACTGTTTTTTTTTTTAGCTGTTTGTACACAACTGCTTTATAAGCTAGATGTATTTGAATCTAGAACAAAATGCTGTAAAGGAGTCAATTTCCTTTGCATAAATAGAGTATTTTAGTTAATGTAGTCAATTAACAGTGGTTCATGTTTTCTCTATAAGATAGTTACATAAAGCTTAATGGTGACATAAAGTGCTGGAATATGAATTGAAATTTAGCAATTGTTTACTTGGTTGGTATTGTGTTGTCATTTTTGTTGGTTGGTAGTGAAAATGTGCACTTCCTTTATAGTATTAATTACCAATCTTGTAAATTTTGTACCTTCTTTTGCTTCCCATGCCCCTGCATGAGATTTCCATTTTCCCTTGTTGTCCTGCTGCTATGCTGCACACTCTATCCTTTCTCCAGCCTTCTGTTTTACATTTCTATTCTTCCCTTTTGTGGACAAACTCATGCTCACATTGTCTTTGGTAAGTAGGAAAGCAAAGACACAGTGAAGATGCAGTGACTCTTACTCAGATATTATTATAGGCTGGTTTTGATCTTAGTGACACTTGAACCACATTCCTTTGCGTTTTTAAGACCTGAAGCTTGATTTTTGCATATGGGTTTTCCTTTATTACTTGCAGAAAGGTGGAAATCTGTTGTATCTGTGTAAGTGTCAGCTGGGATACGTTTGTGCATCAAGCAGAATAGAACTCTCAGGTAAACTTTGCCTAGAAAGCTCTGCTGTACTGCTTTATGTCAAGTGAATAGCTTCTTAATTGATGTTGCTGTTGCACCTGCATTTTGTTTACTTGTGAAATTTCTGGATTTTCCTCTTTACCTTCCCCTGAACAGTGTTGCAATTTGCTCCCTATTCCCAGTTGCTGGAAGCAGTCTGTCTATTTCCCTGCCCCAAACAAAACAAAACCAACAAGGCTCCTTGTTTCAGCCTGCATTGCTGCATTTTGGGGAGGCAAGGTGTGAAAGAGATCAGTAACTAATGCTGGAGGTAGGAACCAGTTAAGCTGAAGGTTGTGTATTTAAGACCATGCTTTCAGTTAATTTTACACGAAGGAAGGAAGTAAATAGAAAGTTAGATGACTTGCATATAAATGATGTTTCATTCTTCTTATGATTCTGAAGACCAATGCACAATTTTGTTGACTGTTCATTGCTTCTTTTTTGGCCAGCTGTGTGTGCATCCTATTTTACAACATCATGGCATTTAGGGCTGAACTTCGACAATGGTCTGCATCATTTTTCAGAGAGCTGTAGGATTTTTCTTGAGGTTTATGCTGCCAGTACTTACGTATTCAACCAGTGAATTCAAGTGCAAAAAAGAATTCTGTAACCATGCAGAAAAGTTTGCAAAGTTGAGAGATCTATAAAGTGAGCAGATGTGTGTAGTGCTGTGTGATTTCTGTAGCCATGGAACTTGTACAAAAAATGAGCAAAATGGTGAAGTTATTTGTTTCCTTTCAGGAAGTGTTGCATCTGTGCAAAGAGTTGTACCAGTACCCAAGAATCCTGTAGGCCTAAGGGGAGTCTGTGTGCCTAAAATGTAGAGTATCCCTCTATCAGCTGTGGGGATGGGGATAATAGTAAAAGCTGGACTGCTAGCAAGAGTGAGGAAGGTTCTGATTATTAAATGTCATTTAAGGAAGGAAGCAAGTCCCGGAAAGTTGGAAGTTTTATTGTTTACTTGAAAATCTGTTATAGCAAAATGCATCATACCAGCTCTTATTTTTGCAACAGTACTATTTCAAAAACTCATCATCAATCATACTGAAATATGCTTTGGCGTAATGTATTGGAAAGCATAAAAAGCTTAAATAACTTAGGTTAAATTAAGTACAGATTGTTTTAAAACAACAGAATTGATATTTGACAAATGAAAGAATGTACAAATAATGATGCGTTTTTAATATAGCCACGCTCTTTCACACAAGCTTTAAAGCAGTATTTAGAGAAAATTCTCTTGTTCTAGGTACAGGGACTGAAATTAAAATTACTACTACATTTCCTTTGCACAGGCATAGTTTTGTTTAATTAAGCTACATCCATGCATTCATATGTCAATGAGAAGCATCAGAGCTATTGGTAGTGTAAACTATCTTTAGTGTCTATAGGAAAAATTGTCTCCCTGTTTATGCCATAGGTATTGTAGCTATCATATTATACTTCAAACTGACTTCCATTGAAGTGCTTTTGGTACTTTTGACATTTTGGTGTTTGACACACATAGGATTGGCAGTGGAGTACCATGTGGAAATGCCCTTGGTTTTGCTGTATGTATATTGCTGTATCCACGAGATGCGTGGATACCCCAGTGTGTGGTCAGGTTTCTATGCAGTAATTGCCTTATGAACGACTCAGTGCCACACAGATTTCTCTCTGTGAGAGCACAGGACAGATGTGCTGTAGGATAATGTGTAAAGTAAAACAACAGATGTGCAATAGGATAGAAAATTGCTGCCTAGTTCAGGTGAATCTGTTGAATCCAGTGCACGCTTTTTTTTTTTTTTTTTTTTTTTTTGTAGAATCTAATTGGAGGGCATGTTCAGTTTTCTGATGTCCTCTTGGTGTATGTTCATTCTAAGGAAGGCTGTTTTGTGCCATATTACGATTACCGAAAGGACATCTCCTTTACCCAGGTAGTATAAGAGGAATTTGAGCCAGTCTTTCACTTTTTCTCTGACACTTGTTTTGTCTTAGCTATAGTTATAGCCCTAATTAGCAAAATGTTTCTAGATCAGCCAAAAGCTGATTGGGAAGTCCAGCATCTGTTCTCTCAGATTGGGAGTCATGTAACAGATGGTACAGAATCTGAGTTTCTCTTTTCATCCAGGCCTCTCTGTTCTTGTCACGAGAGCTGCCACTGAAAAACCTAGGGACTATTAGCAGCAAAAAACAGGGATCTGAAACATCCAAATATGCTATTGAATCAGAGGTATTTCATAATGATTTGTCGATTTATGAAGGCAAACGCTAAGCTCTCCTTCTAGTTGCAGTTGTAGTGCTCTGGCCAGGCTTCCAAAAGTGCAAACTGCCTTCCCTCTGGCTCCAGAGAGGAGTCTGGGGAAGCCTGGTTAGCGTAGCACGCCTCTCTGCAGATGTTGTAGCCATAGCTGTGCCCTGGCAGCATTCAGGTGCGGGTGCATTGCCTTCTGTCTGCCCTCAGGCTGCGGTTGGCAGCACTGCAGGGTGAGGCACTGTTGGAGTGAGGGAACCTTTGGCCATGAGCCCCTCAGTGCCTCTCAGCTAGCCTAGGGAGGAGGTGACGCTTTGCTTCTTTACCTAGTGTAGTTCAGCGGTGACAAGCTGTTGTAATTACTGAGTTATGACTGGGACATCTGAACTTCCCTTTCAGGATCTGTTACCTTTGCTTGTCTTGAGGTCTGCTCAGGGACAGAATTCTCCATTGTCACAAGGCTTGGTCCATTGTGAGTTTTAGACTGAGGATTCTGGCCCCATTTAAGTTGACAGGAATTTTGCATTGATTCTGCTAGGATGAGGATTTCACGTCCTGCTGTTAACCTACTGATTATCATGGGATCCTGTGTTCTGGATGACCTTCTTTTCTCCTGTAGTTGCATGTTTCCTCAATAAATACTTGGGATTAGTCGATAGGAATGGCTGATTAAATTGCATTTATTCATATTTGAAGACACAATGAGTTGTTGGATCAATTGAAGAGCTGCTCCAGCAGCTAAGTCCAGTTTCCATTTTTACCTAAATGTGACTTGAAAATGACTGTATTTTATGCATTGTGGACATATAATTTGCAATTTTGTATGAGATTCATACATAATCAGAATATTTTTATGTTTCAAGCCCTTGTTAGAGAGGGTCAAAACCTCTCCTGATTCTTCTGGCCATTAATTGTTTGTAATGTATTAGCCTTTCTGATTAAGTGTCTGCAGATTAGCATAATGTGAGCATGTGTAAGGGTGCAGCTCTGCCGCTCATTCCTTTTGCATGCTGCTTTGCGGCTGTCAAAACTTGAATTTGAGGTAAAGGTTATCAATAGTACTTTAAAAATTTGGGGGTATTTTGTGGTAAGAGGCAGAAATGTTGCTCCATCTTGTTGGACTGTGTAAAAGCAGGGCAGGACAGAACAGGTCTCATTTGGCACGGTGTTGGGTGATGGTTGTCAGGTTACTTACTTATCTGTAAGCCTGGCTGGTTGCTGGCAGGGCTGCAGTGGGGTTGTATGGCCTGCTCTTAGCACTGAGAACTCATGCTGAATATGTTTGACTAGGCCACAGGCAGGGCCTAACTTCTGGTCCTTTTTATATGTCAGAACCTCAAGATGAAGCTGTCCCACAGTCAGGTTTGTATCAGGAGGTTGGCTGTGAAAAACGATAATTGTGAAAGGAGATTGCTGTTAAGAATTTAACTCTTGGTCTTGCAAGATTTGAGGAGATTGAAACATATTTCCTGTCTCTCAGCTGGGAAGTTCTGAACAACGTGAGACTTTCTAAAAGGGAATTCTGATTTGGGTGAATCCATTTTTAAAGCAAGTCCCATGCGTGTTCATGCTGTGCAGTGCACACAGAGCAGCTCTCACCAGCACATGGGGTGCCAGCATGCTTGCTGTCTGGTTAGGAGATCAAAGGGCCATCTGCAGTGAGGGGCAAACTGCAAAACCAGAGCCTTCACAACCCCTACCAAGTCCCACTCTGCACCCAGCTCAGGTCTGTCACATTGACAAAAGCCATTCCTTCCTCATCCTCTGTTGTTTTTCAAGCCTGCGTTGCTTTCTTCCCTCCTTAATTGTAGCATGTGCCACGGTACTCTGCATCAAAAGGAAACCACTGTACATTGTGGAGGAAAAACTAAGAAATCTTAATGAAAATACATGTAGTGCTTCAGAACACTGAATTGATCATCTGAAACAGGACAGAAGTGCCCTGTGGTAATTTCTTTTCTTACATGAGAAAAGATGTACACGGGGAAAAAATAGACTTCTTTATGCTT